GGGGGGCGAAAGGAAGAAAGAGGGAAGAGAAGCAAACGGATTCTTTGCTGAAAATTAGATCTGCCACGAAGGGTGGGGCGAAGAGTAGGGGGAGAAGCCGAGTGTTCTGCGTTGCGTGGAACACACCCAAAACCATTCTAATCGACGATTCAAGCCATTTTTACTTTGAACCGTCCGTATGTAATATGTTACTTTTCACGCTAACAATGGCAAATGACTGGGTGCCACCAAATTACATCACTGAAAAGTAACTTAGAGTCTACGTTTCGTGGCGTGATACCAGTAACATCCACCTCAGAATTTGTTTTCAACAATAGAGCTTTTACCCTACCACCAGCCCCTCCACAGTCTGCGGCTCAAATTGTATTTACAGCCTCTCCCTCTCCTCTCGTACACTTTACCGCTCCCTGCACGCTTCGTTCCCTCCATGTAGCGCTGGGGCGGAGCAGAGTGCACATGATGCGCTGGCAGAGAACGCAACCGGCGCAATGTTGGAAACTTCTGAAATGGCATTCCCCTTCCCTCTTTCGTTCGTAAAGGGCAAAGGACTAAAACATTTCTAAAGGGAGTGACAAATTCCTATCCCTTTTTTTTTGGGGGGGGGGAGAGGGAAGGGGATGTCATACACGATGGGTACTAGAAGCACGGCGCAAACGACCGCCTCATGTAATTTTTTTTCGATTTGGACAACGATGCAAAGAAAAAACGAGAGAAAACCAGTAGATTTATCCCCCCCCCAAAAAAAAAAAAATAAATAAATAAATCAGAAAAGACATTGTGCTTTACGTATCCCTTTTACAAACTACATTGAACTATATGCGACTAAATCCATTTGAATGACGAGGAGACTACAGAAGAATAACAGTGCCTCGTGCTGCCAGGGTAGTCTCGGTTGCGGCGCCGCCGGGCCGCCGGGGTGTGTCCGGTTAGGGGTGCATCCCCTCCCCCACTCCGTCCATTCCATCCCCCGATTTGATTACAGGAGCGAGAGAGACGGAGAGAGATAGAGAGGGGCGT